CTAAGACCTTTTCAAAACTATGTCGTTCCCCCGAAAACGCAATATCTCATCGTCACAACCCAGAAGAGTCTCTTTCTCGTCGATCGGTGCTCGTACTCGCTTTGGAAACAATTGAAAGAGGAGATTTCTTTCCAATCGCCGATGATGTTTCAAGAAAAAGAAGAAGAAAACCCTCCGCCACCTTTACCCATCCCTTCCTTAGATGATAAGAGGAGCTGGACCAAACCGTTATGGCCCGAAACAAAATCGACCCGGCAACGGAATGAAATTGAAGTCATCACAATTGAAGATGAGGAGGAAGAAAAAAAATTACCTCTTAAAAAACGGTCGACTTACCGGAACCTACCTGGCGTGCAAGATCCGCTTCAGAATCCAGAAGCTTCTTCTTCTTCTTCTTCCCCGACTTGTTCAAACAGGCAACCTCTTTCGGACTCCTCACAGACAGAACCTCTTCCAGTATCCTCTTCTTCTTCTTCTTCTCCTCTCCAACCTGTCCCGACATCGTAGAGGTAGAATGTCAGACCGGGTCCACAAGTTCCAAAAGGTCCAGAAATCATGGAGGCAGAATCACAGCCGGGTTCACAAGTTCCAACGGGTCCAGAAATCATGGAGGTAGAATTTCAGCCGGGTAAACAAGTTCCAACGGGTCCAGAAATCATGGAGGTAGAATCGCAGCCGGGTCCAGACATCCTAGATCCCTCCACTCATCCCAAAGAGACTCCAAGTGTTTCAAGACAGCCTTGTGAGGATCCAGCCCTTCCCGTATGGAATGATTATATGGACTTACAAAATTTGGTGCATGCACAGGAAGGAGAAGAAAAAAAAATAATCATACGGATGGGTGGGTCAAAGACTGTTTAGATCATTTAACCTCGAATGAAATTGAACTGTTATGGAATTGCATTTCTGAAATCACATCGGAAATGGGATAAAAACCAAAACAAAAAAAAATTTTTTTAATAACAAATGGGAGGAGGGTCATGATGTCAATTAAAAAAAATATTATATAGAGTCCAATCTTGGTGGTTCACTTCAGTTTTCCAGCATGAGGTGATCCACGTTTCCCGAAATATGGATCCCATTCCAAGAGAGATTGTGTAGAGCCTTCACTTCAGTTCTTTTTTTTTTCCTACCAAGAGGAGAGGGTCCCCAAAGGGCTACCCATGTCCAAAGAGAGAAAGTGTAGAGAGCGTTCATTTCAGTTTTTTTTCCAAGTTTAGGGGAGGGAGGTCTCAAAATGACACCCCCCATTTTCAAAGAGAGATGGTGTAGAGCGTTCATTTCTGTTTTTTTCCAAAGTTAGGGAGTTTTCAAATGGCTACCCATTTCAGAGAGAAGAGAGAGAGAGAGAAGGTTGTAGAGCGTTCATTTCAGTTTTCCAACATTAGAAGGTCCCAAAATACCTTCTGAATTCAAAGAGAGAGATCGTGTAGAGCGTTCATTTCCAGTTCTCCAAGATCAGAAGAAGAGGGTCCGCTTTTCCCAAAAGGGCTTTCCGCATTCAGAGACAGCGAAATGCAGACTTCAGTTTTCTCCCTCCCCAAGAATAGAGGGTCCCAAAATGGCTTCCCATTTCAAAGAGAGAGGGAGAGGCGTTCATTTCCATTCTCCAAGATAGGGTCGTCTGCTTTTTCCCAAAATGGCTTCCCAATTCAAAGAGAGAGAGAGAGTAAAAGGGTGTGTAGAGCGGTCATGTTCATTCTCCAAGATAGGGTCGTCAGCTTTTTCTCAAAATGGCATCTCCCCATTCAAAAAGAGATCGTAACCAATTTTTTCCAGTTTTTTCCAAGATGGGGGGGAGAAGAAAACCTAGGATGGAATAACACGACACACAGAGAGAAAGAGAAAAAAAAACGCCATCTTGTCATTTTCTGATAGGGTACCGGTGTTCGAATACTTTTGTGACCGACTGTACTGTAATTTTGGAGACGTGTGTTGGTATCTGATGTAGTGTTTGGTAATGGCAAATTATTATTTCCTGCCTGGGAAGTTGACTGAGTGGGTTGAACTGTGAGAACACTTAAGCTGTTTTGGATGGTTGTAAGGTTGACTGGAGGTTTAGTGAATTTTGGTAGTTTAGCTGTTTTCGTTGGTTTTTTGAATCCATCCACATCCATTTCCGTGTCCGAGTTAGCTTCATGTTGTTTGCGTTTGGTGTGTGTTTGTGTGTGTGTGTTGCTTGCATGCGAGAGATAAAAATCTAACTTACCCCTCAGCTGCTTTATCTTCTTCTTCCTATCTTCTATTTGTTTCAGTAGTAAGTCCGTGTGATAATCTCTGTCCGTAACAGGGCGTTGTGCTCTGAGCATCTTGTATGTATCCACTAAAGTGGTCGTTCTTATTTCTAAATGCTGTATCTCCGTTCGAAGGGTGGCTGCTTCCGCGTCAGTGATCATGTTTTGGTGGTCAGTGTCCATATCCGGGGTGTTAAGCTTAGTCGTATCGGGGTCCGAGGCTGAGCTCTTGTCCGGTGGGATGTCATAGTCGAGAATGCCCATGTGTTCCGCTGGCTGTCCTTCCTCAGGAGAGAGAGTCTGCTTAGTACGAGCCATATCGACAAATCACCATTTCGTTAAAACGAGAAAATGTCGTGAGGTATGTGCCGCAGCTTTAATTGTTCGGCCGAAGCAACTTGCGTTAGGGTTGCCGTAATTATTTTTGGCAGCATTGGGATCGACAATAGTTTGGCGAATTTTTACGGTCCTCAAAACGGAATTGTACCGCCAATTCTAACTTATCAAAACATCTTGAACTAGCTAGGCATTTGCAACATTTTTAATAACTAATTTTCACAGTTCGAGTATATAAACCTCCACCAATATATCCTCTTAACCAAACCGGTCTTTATCGATGCAATCGCCTTTCAATAAGTTGAACCAGTTGGCGAAAAACTCTGTACACTCTCTCTAGCTTTTTTATTTTCCTCAGTAGATTGAATCCAATGCTGAAACTTGTCCTTTGGAGCCAAACCAGAATTGATACTAGTCTGTTGTCGGGACCGGATTCAGAAATGTAAGTATGTATTCACGTGTATATGTATGTATGTGCGTATATGTGTGTTTCTAATACTAATTTTTCACTTCTGTCACGATTATTGTAATATTTGTCACTCCTTTTTATGCTAAGGACATCTGTCGCCGGATGTAGCATTCAGGGGTCAAACTGATGTTTCCAATTGCATTTTGGAAAGCAGGAGGGCGCGAAATCTTCAATTGCGCCCTTGCGCTGGAAACCCTACCAACGTCTCTGCCTATTAGAAAACTGATATGTATTAGAATGACTCCAGAGAACATCCTTGGTGGCGACTATTGGCTTCTTTAAGAATGTATGCGGTATTTTATTATGGAACTACATTTCATATAGCTAGGGAGAATGGAAAAATATGGAGGGAAAAGGATTTAAAGAAAGTATTTTCTTATATTGAACTTCTGATTACTCTTTTAGATATGTTATCTAACAAAACTAGTAAATAGGTAGTAGTAGAATTTCTGTCTCAAAACCTCAGAGATTATATGAGACAAAGACGTCTGGTATTTATACACAGCCTAGATAAAAGCACACTTATCAGATAAACATAAGTTTAAAACAACAGCATAAAATCATAAGAAGTGAAAAAGTGATTAATGCTGAGAAAACAGCTACTTAAAACTCAGGCAATGGGATACACACAAAATAATAATAAAATCAGAAAAGGAGATACATTAAAATATGCATTACTAAAATAAAGATACAACATGAAAACAAGATCAGAATAAATAATAAAAACTCGTCTTTTCAGGGTAACAAGTTGTAATTCGCCTGCTTCCTGATTACAGCCAAGAGACAAGTCACAATTGCATATATACTCTTAAAATAATGATATTCAACTAAAAAGTGACGCACATACAAAACATAATCATAATTTGAACAAACAAGTTCTCTCTCAGGCTTCACAAGGTAACTGTAAGGGACTGGAAAGTGATAAATTCTTAGGCGTATTAACAAGATTTCCTCCTTCTGAGTTTTAGCGCTCTGCGAGTACTCTACTTTAGACTTCACGCTTCTCAGTTAATTCAGAAGCTGATCAGCCCAGTGTTGTAAAACATTTTTATAGCCTCAAAAGTTTCACAACAAATTAATAAAAGTAGAGAGCGGATTGATTCCTCTTACCTTGTACCAGCGCAGCATCAAGCGAGCTAGACCAAACTTCTAGATGGTAATCTTGAAGCCCAGATTTCGAATCCGGGATAGATCATTTCTTATATTTCATGTTTATTGCTCTTAAATAAACCTTATACTATGCATTGCCATCCTAAGGTTTTCTATACTGATGTCACTCATCCACGGATGTTCTCCATGCATTTTAGCAAACAGGAGGGGGCGCGCGAAATCTTCAGTTTTTTTTCGGGTACTGAAATCTCTAGTAATGCGTCTGCTCTTTAAAAAGGTGATATGGATTAGAATGATAGCATTTCTGAGTTTTTCTTATAGCATTAAACAAATGTCCCATTCATAAAAATTTGGAAAAGCGTGAATAAAATTTACCAGATTGTATGAATTTTCTAATTTTTTTGGCAATATAAGAATAGTTAACTTAAAAAAAAAAAAAAAAAAAAAAAAAAAAAAAAAAAAAAAAAAAACGCTGGTTAGCGTTTTAAAAGTTAAATACAGTTTCACTTTTAACTTGTTGCTAATATATACTCTTCTTCATATAAAGGAAAAAACTGGAGAGAAATATAACATCTGTTGTCAGATTGACATCCAGAATTAAACATAATGGAAGGATGGCTTATTAATTTTTTATATTCTGAAGTTTTATTTTCAAAATATTCTCGAATACAAATTTTTTAAGAACCAAAAATAAAATATACTTACCTTAAATTATAAATGCTTCAACGCTGCCATAATCATCAAATCTTTAAATTGAAAATGATTATCATAATTCCGAGAATATGAATCGATAATATTTTATATGAAGAAACCACGGAAGAAGGCTAATGCGCATGCCTTAAAACAACGCCATCTTGGAAGCTGACTGCGGCAGGGAGGAGTAAATTAATGTAGCGGATGGAAGTTAATGTAAACATTGTTATTTGATGTTTACTATTGACAAAGTATCCACAACACATAGCATTTTAAAATTGTATTCTTCATTTATATATTTGTGGAATTATAAATAAATGTCAGTGAACATTAATATTAGTTCATTGGCATGGTTATAGTCATTGACGTTTTGTAATGTGACTTTTTGCACTGCATTTTTTTGGATCTTTATATATATATAACTGGAGATTTTCTACCAGGTCTACTCACGAAACGGTGGACTAATACATTTATTAAAGGTAAGGAGCCTTACCGTATAGTAACATTATGACACGACATTAGCACTTAATGACCTGTAGTAGTGTCATTGCTAATAATGATGGTTAACATACGTACGATGTTCATTTTTTCTCATGATTAACTGTATATAGTGCCGTAGTCTCTTTCGTAAAATTATATCCTTGTTATTATGCGTTACTTTTGAGTTTTCTTTATTTGAAAGAGAAGGTTAAATGCATTGTTTGCAAATACAGAAATTCTTCAGTCTGTATGATAATTGAAAGGAATTATGTAATTTAGCAGTTTCAAAAACATTTGCTGTCTCACTGTTCTGTTTAATTTTTCTCTTAAGGTATTGAAAAACACCATTAATTTGAAACTGAAATACATTGTTTTTATCTCCTTCTCAGACATACTTTAATTGGATAAATTTATGTTTTTATAAAAAGAGTTTGATTTTTATGCAGGCAATCCTTGTGCTAATTCTACTCTTTTACAACAGAATTTAAATTATTTGCGTGATTATGTGGACTAGTAACGTGAACTTTTGAAGAAGTGTTACATAACATTTAAGTATTAAATGCTGCAATTTGCCATCTTTTACAATCCTTAAGCACAGTTTAAATATTTATATAATACATTAATATTAAATAATATGAAAGCTAATAAAAATGCATTACTGTGTGCTTGAAAAAGTCTCAAAATCATATTTAATACTGATAGCCTTGGTTCAGATGTTATTCATCTGGAATGAAACAATTCTCTGTATGTGTACAACATGAGTCCACTGCACTTAAGTGTACACTGTTCCAAAGTGTGTTCTACAAACATTCACCAAGTGTTCCACAAAAAATACGAAACTGATGTTAGAGAGCAGCAAAATATTTTTTGTGTTTATATATTTAACACAATTTAAAATAATTTTAAAAGAAATTTAGAGAAAACATAAAACAAAGTGAGTGAGTGAAATTGTGCGTATAATAAATTTAAAAGTATAGCATGATATTAGATAGCTTCAGTTGGCAGTGAAATACATGCAGAATGCAATTTAGTTGTGTTTTTGTTCTCTGCTTAGAAGAAAAAAAGTGTTTCATTTATGCTTAACTCGCGAGCACGCGCGCCGGATATCTCGTACTCAAGGGCATACTCTTTGTCCCTTATCTCCAAACCCCTTTCTTGGAAATGGGTAAAACCTTTTGTAGCGGAATTCAATGTGACATTCTTGAAGCTGGAAAATCCGTGGAGTGATTCTTTGAATACTTTTCTAGAAATTGTACCGTTTGGGTATGTGACACCCGCGCACCTTCTCGCGTCTGTCAGATTTTCATGCTCACTTTCTTAGTTAGTCAGCATGGCGCGACATCTAAGTTATGATAAAGAAATGGAAAGGTTGAAAAATATGCTAGAAACCATTTCAACAGATGATGAATCGTTTAGCGAAGTGGAGGAAGAATTAATAGATGAAGATCATAATTCATCGACACCGAATTAGTGAATTAGAAAATCAATCAAATTATGAAAGTGTTGTCCTACTATCAATTATGCACAATGATAATAAAATTGATGAAACCACTGGAGTACTAAAAAAGCCGGAGATTATTTCATTTTATAATCTAACCAAAGGAGCAGTAGATGTTGTAGATGAAATGAGAACAGCATATTTATTCTACAGCGAGAGTATCAAAACCAGGACCTATGGTAATTTTCTTGATTTTAAATGTTGTAGCAATTAATGCATGAATAATCTTACTTTCTACAAAAGAACCACCAGCTCAGTTTAGAAACGCGTTCTTTTCTCAAATCATTAGGACTGAAGTTAGTAGAAGATTACTCAGATCAATGGCAGCAATAAATCATGCTCCCTTTGAAACTAAAAGAAAAAATAATTTCACGAGATTGCAGCATAAAAACACCATCTAAAAAGATGAAAAATATTAAAAGAAGATGCGCTGAGTGCCCTAAAAATAAGGACAGAAAGACACGGTTTCTGTGTGAGAAATGTAATATCAGTATTTGTATGGAGCATATGTGTTAAAGCTGTCAGAAATGTGAAAAATTATTGTAAGTTAAGTACTTCATTTATTATATTCTTTAAAAATATCCTAAAGTTCATTGTCTTTTATGTTAATCCACATTTATACTCTTATTTATATCATTAAAGCAATTTAAAACGTGTTATTTGCTTTCGGGTATGACATACCCAGTGCGCCTTCTCGTGTTCGTATTTTTGGCGCATGTGCTTGCGGGTTGATCATGTTAACAGTCTTAGTTTTCATTGGATGTATTACTTCTCTGTTTTATCTTCTTTTTGAACTTGATAAATAAATAAAAATTTAAGGTCCAAGGTTTGAATCCCGCGAACAGGCTGGCTGCAAGGGCATTTTTGTAGTTTCCCCATGTGTAATGTGTATACAAGTCGGTTTCTATTAGAAAGCCCTCCTCGAAGGTATCCCTCAGGCAGATAGTGCTAATGTGCTTTGCTGTAATTTCAGTAAACAAAAAAAAAAAGAAAAAGAAAGAAAGAAACCCAAAACACTTTAGGCAGATAGTGCTAGCGTACTTACTGTAATTTCAGTAAGCCAAACCCCCCTAAAACTCCTTACAATTATGAAATTAAAATAGAGCATAATACTTAAATATTACATGTTTTATGCTCATTTTTTTTTGTGCAGTTAATGAAATTTTTTAACATAGTAATAATATGTTAATGAATTAATAATGTTAGTACAATAATAAAATGTTGATAAAATAATGTTAGCTAAATAAGATATATTAATATAATAATAAGTGTAAAATTATTTTAGTTAGCACTCCGCATAAATTAGAGGTATTATATCATTCAAAGTGAAAGCTACAGTGGTTTAGTTGTCATTTTTGAGAATGTCTTAGTTGGTGCTCTTTAAATATTGCCATCCTAAGCAACTGCTTATGTGTGAAGGTTGCCCTGTCTTTATCACTGCTGAAATGTAACGAAATTCTTTCTTAAAACTATAAGTGCATTGTTAAAATTTATACTATAGTTTTCAACATTAAAAAGCATTGAAATATATTTTATGGTTTGTTTTCAAAATCCCTTCAAGATCAGAGTGTGTAATTAATTGGTGCTTTCTGATTATTCACATTTCCATGAAAAGTTACTGATGAGTACTGGTGACTTTGTGCATTTTTGAAAAGCATTTAATTATCTTTATACCTCATAGGTACTTCCCAATAAAAACAATCATTTTAAGAAAAAAAATTTTATGAGAAACAAATCTCTATGTAGCTGATTTTTTTAAATTTATCTACAACTGGTGGACACTGTTTAGTGCAATGATGATTAAATATAAAACATGTCAATCCACATATCCTCAAACTCGTGTATGGTACATGCAATGTGTGAATTGGTTGTTGATGCTAGTATATTTGCAAATGTGTTAAAAAGCAGATCTACCAAATGGTGAAACTGAGGGTGAGGATAATCACAAGAATTTATTAGTTAATGATATTATCCATAGCATAAAACACAATAGTTTTAGTTACAAAGTTTAACAGCAGTGCCCAAGCATTAATTGATGTTGTAAAACATATTTCAGGTCTTAAAAATTTTTATATTTTTTGGTGGGTGTATACTTTGCTGTGGAAATGCATCTTCATTGTCTTTTATGAGAATGCAACACATTATCAATTTTTATCCTGCAAAATGTCTTTCATTATGTTACTGTATTTATTATTTACTCATTGTGTGAGTTCAGTTTGTGTTCAATATCATGCTGGCTGCTTCATGTTTTTATTGTTGTCCCCATATGTAATGTCAATATCAGATTGTTGACCTCAGAAGGTTCTTATATTGATATCTTTCTTAAGGCAGATTGCCCTTGCATGGTTTTCTAGTCAGTTAACCAGTCAACTGTTATATCTGTTCATTTCACATTTTCTGTATTTTGTGCTTCATTCATGTAATGAAGCTGAAAATGTTCTATTATGTAACACCGAATTTTTAATGTGCATTGTTTGAATGTGCATCACCAAAGCTTATATCAGATTTTATCTATGAAGCCAATTTTCGAATGAAGGAATAAATCATTACTAAGCGTTGGAAACTAGTAATGGCAAAAAATACAGTAAAATACCTATCGATGTGACAATTGAAAAGTAAAGCATAGGAAAACCAATCGATGGAACAAGTTAAAACAAAATTAAAACATAATTAAAACATATAATTGCATAAACATATGAAAATTAAAAATATAAAGCGGAAAATGGTAAATTAGCTGAATTTGAAGTCCAACCTGGCTTTTCAAGGGAAATTTCTAATTGAACATCGAATCAAGCTAACTCCATTACGCGTTTCGCCGAAACAGACAACTTGAAACTTTTTTGACGCTACAAAATTTTAATTAAATAGATATGAAGTGTCTTAGAATAATTTATTGGAGTCTTCAATTCTCTGTTCCAATTTCCCCACGCGTCCGCAGAAAAACACATTAAGGTGTAAGAAAAAGAAAATGCAACTCCGATTACATCAAAACTAAACTAAATTAAAATAATAAAAAAATAGCGGTCTGCTGTTAGTCAAACTATACAATAACGTACGGGCTGGACTGCAAGCTTGAAGATTTATAACTTTATAAAATTTAGAAATCTGTAATTAAATTTAAATGAAAACAAACACAGTGGGTCTTGCTAAGACCAAGAAAAAGTTGTAGTAAAAGAAACATAAAAAACTGACCTGTGGCGATGCAGAGCTCTCCCTCTTAAAACTAAGTTGAAAAGGGGTTGTAATTCCCTTCTGTGTCCTTCAGCGTCATCCCACTCGTCGTGTGACGTAAGTAGGGGGGAGCAGAGTCTTTGGGCATCAGCCAATACGATTAGACTGTCCATTAGCTGTAACTCGTCTCTAATTTTCGAAGGGGGTCGGAAAACTCGGAAAAACTTGGAAAGATTTCAAAATGGCGTCAGTCAAGTTGTTTGAAGAAAAAATTGTTACTGAAAGTGAAAATGGCTAATTCAGCTAAAACTACTTAACATGGCACAAAGT